TCGCGTGTACCTACTGGGTTGGTGCGATTACGCAGACTTTCGGACCAAGGTCGAACAGAAGGTATTGTTATACGACTCAAAATATAGCCAAGGTGACTAGAAAGAGGAACGTTCTCAACGTCTTTCTTATCCTTCTAAGTAACGCCAAGCAATCTGGGGTCCCCGGCGTGAAGCGAGGACGGTTGACTAAAGAAGCGTGCGACGCTCATTAGTGAACGTTTATGTTCATTTTAGTATATAATGCATTTCAGTGATCAAGCTCTGCTATATATATACATATATATATATATATATATATATATATGTTGAAGGCATCAAAAACCGTGACTGAGCGTGGACAATGCAAGTACAAAAGTGTGGTATTACAATCATTCAGTGCTCAAGTCAAATCCCTTATGACTGCTGGCAACCGTGAATCGATCATCTCTGTGGAAGTCCGTTTTCCCGAGGCTGTGGTCTGTTCGATTTTTGCGCAATCTGTCGTTGGTGGACAAAGAATCGATAAAGATGTAAAGACACTGATGATCACTTTCGATTCATTGCGGGATTCGTCCTATAATCAAGTTGATGATTCGGTAGCTGTAGCTTTAGAATAATCCTGATTCTATGCGGTCGGACAAGAGCGGAGCCTATTGTAGGGGTTATCAAATGACGCACTTTGAACCAGCACAAGGTCGATTTCTACGGTTAATTGAATATCTCCATGGTCACATTGATTATCTTAATCATTGGAGGATGAATAAGCGTTTCTAGGACAGTGTATCAAACTCATTCGGGTTCATCAAGATCAGTTGATGGGTCGTCAATGCATCGAACGTGCGATACGGAAAACTTGTCTGCGTGCCGTCGAATTATAACCGGATTGTTTGAGTGAAAACCGTCAAAAGGATAATAATTCTGTCTGCTTGTATCACTTCAAATCCCTTTGTATCGTTACACAAGATGATGAAATGGAGTAACCGGAGTGTGACTCACGTCTCACAGTGTTTGGATGCGACAAGCTGAACGCGAAAAGAACCGCGGTCAGCTTCTATCACCGACGTCTTGGAACCGTCGTTTCCTTTTCGGATTACATATGCGAGTTAAGCACTGGTTTATTTGCAATAGACAACTGTTTAACGGATAGCGGACAGGCACAGTCNCCCACGAAAGTTTGCAATTGGAGCGTAGTTTTTGGCGCACGGCACGATAGACTTCTGCACTACCTTGCAGTTAGCGCTTGGATGTGCGAGGGCTAGAGATGCCACCTCAACCCAAAGTCGAGGATGTTTCCTGAGCCTAGATCCCATGAAATTTCATCAATGTTCACTTTACTTGTCTTGCTAACCATACTACGGCGTTGCTGGGAAGAGACGCGCCTTGTTTTCCTTCAGTGGCTCGGGGTAACAAGTATGTAAGCCCGATAGAAGGATACCAGAAAAATCAGGTGTCTCGGAATTCCAATGCGACCGTTCAAGGCACATTGTGAATGACAGAAAATTCGGCGCGGTCGCCAGATCACTTGATAGCCTGTTACTTTTAAAAGGTGTATTTTTGAATAGATATTTATTCAACCGATCTGGGGATTTGTAAACTGAAATGTTTTAAAAACTGCTACTTCTGAGAGTGCAACAGTAGGAAGAATTGAGTGTATTTATTCTGTACAAGATGTGGTACCGTGATCAAGTTGGTGTGCACATCCAAGTAAATGCCTCTGGATGACGTTCACGCAGTAAATGGTCTTGTTGAGCGAGCGTCGTACCTAACGGGACAGCCGGAAGAGGAATGACCGCTGCATTGCCAATCAGTCAGTATGCGTCGGATAGAATAATGTGCCTTGAATTGACTGATAACCAGGAATAAAGTGGTAATTATCAACAGTAACTATTTCATAACAGTGATCGAGAGATCATTATCACTGACCAGAACCAACGGCATCGATAACATCCCATCCGGAAGAGCAATCAACATACACATGTAGGATACATGACTGTCATTGTTGTGGCGTTGGCACTATAGTTGTCCACAAGCCGTTGTATATATATATATATATATATATATATATATCGTCTAAGACCAAAACGTTTGCAACAGTTCACATTCATCCCGGAGATGCTTCACTGCTGAATGACACCGATTGAACCCGTCGAAAGGCTGAGCTAAGGACGCGGTGCAAGTGTGCGTCGATGCTGCAGGAAAGACGTTTCTACAGTTGAAGAATTCCCTTTGGCGTAGAAACGAATCGACCTAAAGATACAATACAATTTCTCTCCCTCGTGCTTATTTCCCTTCCACTCGGGATGTTTCAGTCTTGGTAACAATTCTACTGATTACCATAGAGCTTCGTCAGTGTACATTTATTCGACCGGTGTTTTGAAAATGATCGACAGTGGGAAACAATACAAACCAAACTTTCTGAGATAATAGAAAAAACCTTGACCGCAAACGGAATCAATGTACGTACCCGTCGTCAGGACGGTGAAAACCTTCTTCCCATGAGAAAACGAAGTCGACAAATAAGAGCACACAGGAGAGGCCAGACTTCGTTGTATGTAAGAACACTTACGTGATATCCCAGTTTGGACATTAAGGTGATTTGACAAGACCCAATACTTACGCACGTACATAGACGGAATAAGAGTACAGTTCAGCGAGGGAATCATTGAATCATTGCTAATTCGAGCACTCACGGTCTAGCAGTGGCGGTTAACTTAACCATTAACATTTCACAGAGCATATTCGAACTCGACTTGTTTTGTACCAATAAGAATATCAGCACAATGATTCGACTTCTTTAGATGATACGTTCACTCCGGGTGATTACACTTCACATTCAGAAAACCTGTATCAAACTGTATTCTAATTTTCTGAGAATGCTTGCTAACTGGAATTCCCAAGTATTTCCCCGTTCAAGTGCGTTTCGTATGATTGACATAATCTAACGCACACCCGTGAGGCAAGAGTTACAAAAACGCACAAGACAACACACCTTCGGAGGGAACTTGAAATATACCGGAGTTGGTGAATCGCAGCAACTTTTCCAGAAACCACTCAATCTGTTATAAACCGTCTTCGATGAAATGGGAAACCCGAATCTGTTCTCACGAGCAAGCGAAAAACTGCATTCAATACGCATGCTGTTCGAATCGATACTGACGACGCTCTGGATCCGAAAACACCGGCTCAATCCGCCACACCGAAATCATAACATCCTTATGTTCTTTACAAGCCCATTAACTATGCCGTTCAACTAGTTGATACGTAATAAACAGTGAATTTGCTGAGATTTTCACTATCTTATCCAGCACTCGAAAGACTGTGGTCTATGGATGTTGAACAAAGCCCGAGGAGGTATCATCGCCATTCGGAGGTGCAACGCTCCAATCACCTCGACTGAGATAACTCCGTGAGAACGTAAAATCCGAGGTTAAGTCCCTCCATTCATGCTCGGCGCGATTGCGGGCATGCGGCTAGTAAGCTACGGCTGTGAAAAAGCCAGACAGAACAGCAAGATGACAGCGAAGATGATAATTCGTTTGCCTGCGTTATACACTGAGTAAAATGCAAACGTCACAATAGAGCACAGCTCCCAATGGATGAACGAAACCGCCAATGATAACCGGCATACCAGTCCAAGTCAAAGGCATCGTGACGAGTCACGAACTAAATGCTTCTCTATTACTGGGATTAGTATCAAGAAGTGACTGTTGGTGATCACGGCGAAATGAATATTAACATGGTCTATGATGGCACCAGAGCTGACGGACAAAAACGGACGCACGGGGCAAAGACGGTCGTTGAATTTTCGTTGACCTCTAATAAGTAGTATCTTTATCAACGCACAGTTAAAGCTACGTACTGCGACTAAGGCAGTTGCAGCGAAATTCTGGGTCATTATTCAATAAAAGGCTTTGAATCATTATGCAGATATCAATGCATTTGATGGAAGGAATTCGAGGGTGATTTCAATATGTAAACGGGCTGAAGGGGGGGAACAGGACAAAAACTAAACAAAATAGGCAACTTAACTGCCAGCAGATTCGGGACTGGGAGTTGGGGTGGCACGGAACCGGGAAGTCAAATAGAAGCCGACACAGTCATTAGAAGGGAAAAATACTTCTGTCTACTTAGTATGTATGCTCCATGGGAATGGGGGTGAGGGGGGGGGCATTAGCGGGAACTGTGCGCAAGGGCGGATTATACAACGACACTATCCCTGCCAGTCGCCGAAGTTGGAGCGGGAATGGGAGGAGCGTTCACCCGGGAAAACAAGGTTAGCATAGCACGTGATACAAGAAAGGTCAATATCTGGAAAGGCAAATAATTTTTTGTACAAGAAAGTGTATCGTGGAAAAATACTGCTTTTTATTCAACTTTGCGTGTGAACAGAGCTTAAGTATGTACACCGGCGATGCGAACGTTGTTGGACCCGGGACTGATGGCAGCGAGGGATATTTGTAGGACAAGAACAGTTTGTTCTGGATAGGGATTTCTTCGGTAAGGGTGGTCGCGGTCAATCGAATGAGAAGCCGAGCAGGTGTGCAACGGTGTAGGCTCAACAGGTGTCGTAAGCACACCGGAAATGCAGGTAAGTAAGTATAGTGCTCGTTCCGTTCAGTTGACCAAGATAAGTGGAACACAAGTTGAAAAGGTTACACACACCGCGCAACAGGTATCCTGAATTTTATCGATTGAGTCGTCGAGTTGCGTGCACCTTTTTACGGGCGCTGATCTCGGAGGCATTGGCCGAGAACAAGTTGGACGAACTGTTGGCACTAAAAGAACAAACGCAACAAACAGTGAGATCAACAGTGGATAAGGGAGTGGTAGAAAAAGGATAAAATTACAAATATTCGCCCTGTTGATCTCGAATAAACAGCCAGAATCTGCGAAATCCTAGACAAAAGAAAAAACGGCTACATTCACCATTTTCACTCTGCACCGCCTTCGATGGCCCGGTCACAGTTGGCGTATGCCTGCCCATTGTCTACCCTTCCGTGCTTCTTTTGCACGCGCTTGAAGAAACGTCGCGGCAGTCAGACCATGAAATGGATAGAGGTATGAAGAAGTCAGCTTCAGCTTCGGTTGGTGAAGGCCGCCTTCCAGGTTAAATCCTAACGGGAGAGGATTGTCGTTGGTAGGAGACAGGTCACGCCTGTCTGTTGAAATATTGTGCCTCCTAAAACAACTATAACGCACACAAAAAGTGTACGGTGAGACGAAAAAATTGTTATTATTCCTGTTACCTATTGTTTAACCTGAATTTCACTTTGTTCTGTATCCTAATCCACCGATCCTATGTTTTGGTTAATAATGTTGTGGCGTTGGCAACATGCTTACCCGAAAGCCGATGAAAAATATAAATATATACGCTCAACAAACAGGATAGTGCGGAGTGATAAGCCATTCACATTACTTCCACCGTTGAAAACAGTCATTTGGAATGACCGTAGACCCCTGCTCAAAACGGGGTGTACCCCAGGTGATTTGTTGACACAAGTAAAAGAATCAGATTGCCGATCATGAATGAACCGTTGATCCCCGTTACTACAGGGTGTACCCCTACTGTTTTTCCTCGCACATGTGTGAGATAAAACCCAGGGAGTGCATTGTCTAAACTTGTCCGTTAGGACAAATTACCATAAGATGACCCATGAGCCAGCAGCGCGTCATGCATAAACTACAAATTGCTACTGGATTGCTCGCGATACAGACCGTTACATGGAAGGCTCGAACAAACAAGCCAGCTACCTTGATGTTTCTGGTCAACGAACACCGTGTGCAAGATGATGGCAACTAGACATTTTTTCTAGCAACCGAGAGAACTAGAATGGCAAAGCTAAATGTTTAGAAGATAATGTATGGCATGTAAATCTGAAATACGAATTTAGATACATGGTTCATTCGGCAGATTGGTCTCGAAAATTACTTTTGTTACATCTCACCACTTTATAAACTAGGAACGAAAGCAAGACCAGTAATTCCTACTTCTATCCAAAATATTTCATCACAGTGATGAATGGCATCCAAGGTATTCATGACACAAAACTGATCTACCGCCCTTCATCATTATCCTCAACGTGTAATCGGCGATCAAAACTCGGCTCGTATAACTTCAGACCTTTTTTGGCATAAGATTTCGTCGGCTTTTGGCGAACAAACCTTGACTGCTATCCGTGTTACTTTATTTTTCCACAGACTTGTGAACCTACTGAGTTCGTAGTCCTGTTGAACTCACAAGCTTTTCAAAAATTCAGCAAATGTCACTCAAGTTGCCCCCTTCCTGGATAATACGTAGGGCTCTCCATTACAACGATCAGGTAAACTAAAAATTGAAATACTTATTGCAATTTGAGTAAAAAAGGAACGTGCACTGAAAATATACAAAATAAATATGAAAAGCAGCAAGACCCCAACCAGACCCATTGTTTGCTAACTGCAGCACTTAGGACATTGCCGGAATTCTACACATGTAATTGGTTTGAGAGCAAGTATAGCGATGAATCGCAAAAGTGATTCTTGCACAATAGTCAACTAACCTTTGTCCAGGAGGTAATGGTGTTGGAGCACCGAAGCTTAGTGGTGGCTTCGATCCTGGTGCATCGGTTGCCTGAGTGTTGCTCCCAAAGCAGAAAATATTTCCGGCTGTTGTGGATGAAGTACAATTGGGTTGTGCTGAGCCGAAAGAGAAAGGAGCAGACACTGATGCTCCCAACTGGATTCCACCAAACGCGGGTGCTGTTTGTGTGGCTGGAGCGACAGAGTTCAGGTTAGAATTAGTCGAGGAAATGTTTGATGCACCCGGAGTCGCACTGAACGACGATCCGAATGTGAATGTTGGATGAGTCCCCGTGGTACTTGGAACAGAAATCAGTTTTGGTGAGCCGAATTCGAACTTAGGTGCCACTGGTTGAGGGACAGATGTGAAATTAAAACCACCGGACGTAGGATTACTAGCTACCACTGGCTTTTCTTTGTCATTCAGAGAGGATACAGTGGAATCACCATTAACTAAACCGTTGGTTATTGATA